TGTGGATTGGGACCCTGGTGACTTAAGTGCACAACAGTAACTATATGTAAAATGGTCAATGTTTGGATGTTTACACTTTTATTATGAGTCAGTGTTTGTCTGTTTATCGGGAATAAATTTTGATCAAAATCAAAATCGTAAGTAGTCACCATACTTCAATCGTTGAATTAGATATTGAGCTGCATGCACGACCAGCATTTATTCCTTTGATGTGTACATGTATTTTTCACAGAATTAAACTTTAAAACTGTAGACGATTCTGGTTCGCTTTGATGTGACTGGCACTAAATGAGGTTTGCTAATCTGTAAGAAAGTAATTATCATGTACTGAGGAAATGTTTAATTTCAACATTATCGAACTTCGGGTTTGCTAGATCACTACTGACGTAATAAGTAAATATTGATGTGGTGCTCTCGAACTTCTATTTATAGCTTGGTTTATGGACCATTAATGTTTTGACATACATTTCAGGTTTATGCACAATGTGTTAATGAAACGAATACATTTCTTCGACCATGTAGAGATTATTTTATCATTTATTAAATACAAAAAAAATCAGGTCCCAAGTGATATCCTAAACTGACGGAAAAACTTTCTAAAATGATGCTAATTTCAGATGATATATGGATGGCACATGTGTGATTTTGAACTGATAGGTCATATAGCCTAAAGTCATGGATTGATCAGTTGAAAGTTGAGTCTCAGGGTGAGTTTACTTTTATGCCACTTTTAGCAATATTCCAGCAATATCACAGCGGGGAACACCAGAAATGGGCTTCACACATTGTACCCATGTGGGGAATTGAACCCGGGTCTTCAACGTGATAAGCGAACGCTTAACCACTAGGCTACCCCGCCGCCCCTCTTGTGATTATACATGTAATTAGTGTCACTGACTTGGAGAGTCAGGGTTTTCAGGTTTTGAGGTTAATGCAGAAATGCATACTTTGTCGTCCGAACAACTGAACCACATACTTATCAACCTAGCAACTCTAACACTCATCTACTCACCCATCCTAACACAAATCAACCTTCACCACTCACAAAAATCGAACCATTCTCCATCAAATTAATCGAACCATTTGTATCCACATGATCAACGCTTTGTAAATTGTAACAAAGATTGATTGGATCGTTATGCAAGATGAGTCAGTTAATTAATTCCATTGTCTACACAGGCCAGATTTACAACACAGCATGCTTTTTCATGGCGTTATGTAATACAAGACAACATCATAATTATTTTCAATTCTTTTTGCATTTCATGTTGGACAGTCGGGTTCATCATCACAGTCGACACCAAAGCATGATAACAAATCAACTAAATAAAGAACAACATTGCCCATTTTCACGTAACTTGCTTCATTTGTGCGTTGTTTGTTGTTTAAAATTAGTTAACATTGCACTCAACAATATCCCAGCAAATATGGTAGTGGTCCGTAAGTAATCATATCTGGACCAGACAATCCAGTGATTGATATCATGAACAATGATTTACTCAATTAGATACGATGACATGCATGAAGTAAGCCAGTAAGCCTGACCACCCAATGTTTATTGCTTCTTGCAATATGCATGATCTTCACCATTAGAGCCATACAAAGAACTCCTCTTCTGCAATTTCTTCTGATGGAAATTGTTTTGTAACTCCAAAAAAGAAAGTTTTTAAAAGGGTTAAAAATCAAGATGATATCCATAAATAACATTCATAGTCCAACCTTGTCACTCCTTGAGTTATGACTCATCCAGGCAGCATCCAATAATCATGAACAGGTCATGTAGTGATTATCACAGCGGGTTAATATGGCAGACATTCCATCTAGTCTCTTCCCTTATCAAAACATGGCCGAGCAAGAAAGGATGTGTACCCATGATCAGTTAGAGTTGCTGACTTCCAGTATCAACATGGCATCATAGCCAGATTCAAGGCATCACAGCCTGATTCAAGGCATCACAGCCTGATCCAAGGCATCACAGCCAGATTCAGATTCAAGGCATCACAGCCAATTTCAAGGCATCACAGCCAGATTCAAGGCATCACAGCCAGATTCAAGGCATCACAGCCAATTTCAAGGCACCACAGCCAGATTCATGGCATCACAGCCTGATCCAAGGCATCACATCCAATTTCAAGGCATCAGTCTGATTCAAGGCATCACAGCCACATTCAAGGCATCACAGCCAGATTCAAGGCATCACAGCCAGATTCAAGGCATCACAGCCAATTTCAAGGCATCACAGCCTGATTCAAGGCATCACAGCCAATTTCGAGGCATCACAGCCTGATTCAAGGCATCACAGCCAGATTCAAGGCATCACTTTTAGTTATCAAGGCATCACAGCCAGATTCAAGGCATCACTTTTAGTTATCAAGGCATCAAAGCCTGATCCAAGGCATCACATCCAATTTCAAGGCATCAGTCTGATTCAAGGCATCACAGCCAGATTCAAGGCATCACAGCCAGATTCAAGGCATCACAGCCAGATTCAAGGCATCACAGCCAGATTCAAGGCATCACAGCCAATTTCGAGGCATCACAGCCTGATTCAAGGGCATCACAGCCAATTTCAAGGCATCACAGCCAGGTTCAAGGCATCACAGCCAGATTCAAGGCATCACTTTTAGTTATCAAGGCATCACAGCCAGATTCAAGGCATCACTTTTAGTTATCAAGGCATCAAAGCCAGATTCATGGCATCGCTGTTAGTTATCAAGGCATCACAGCCAATTTCAAGGCATCACAGCCAGATTCAAGGCATCACAGCCAGATTCAAGGCATCACAGCCTTGCATCACAGCCAGATTCAAGGCATCGCTGTTAGTTATCAAGGCATCACAGCCAGATTCAAGGCATCTCTGTTAGTTATCAAGGCATCACAGCCAGATTCAAGGCATCGCTGTTAGTTATCATGGCATCACAGCCACATTCAAGGCATCGTTGTTAGTTATCAAGGCATAACAGCCACATTCAAGGCATCGTTGTTAGTTATCAAGGCATCACAGCCAGATTCAAGGCATCGCTGTTAGTTATCATGGCATCACAGCCACATTCAAGACATCACTTTTAGTTATCAAGGCATCACTGACAGAATCAAGGCATCGCTATTAGTTATCAAGGCATCACAGCCAGATTCAAGGCATCGCTTTTAGTTATCAAGGCATCACAGCCAGATTCAAGGCATTGCTGTTAGTTATCATGGCATCACAGCCAGATTCAAGGCATCTCTGTTAGTTATCAAGGCATCACAGCCAGATTCAAGGCATCGTTGTTAGTTATCAAGGAATCACAGCCAGATTCAAGGCATCGCTGTTAGTTATCATGGCATCATAACCAGATTCAAGACATCACAGCCAATTTCAAGGCATCACAGCCAGATTCAAGGCATCACAGCCAGATTCAAGGCATCTCTGTTAGTTATCAAGGCATTACAGCCTGATTCAAGGCATCGCTGTTAGTTATCAAGGCATCACAGTCAGATTCAAGGCATCTCTGTTAGTTATCAAGGCATCACAGCCAGATTCAAGGCATCGCTGTTAGTTATCATGGCATCACAGCCACATTCAAGGCATCTCTGTTAGTTATCAAGGCATCACAGCCACATTCAAGGCATCGTTGTTAGTTATCAAGGCTTCACAGCCAGATTCAAGGCATCGCTGTTAGTTATCATGGCATCAAAGCCAGATTCAAGGCATCACTGTTAGTTATCAAGGCATCACAGCCAGATTCAAGGCATCGCTGTTAGTTATCAAGGCATCGCTGTTAGTTATCAAGGCATCACAGCCAGATTCAAGGCATCGCTGTTAGTTATCATGGCATCATAGCCACATTCAAGGCATCTCTGTTAGTTATCAAGGCATCACAGCCACATTCAAGGCATCGTTGTTAGTTATCAAGGCTTCACAGCCAGATTCAAGGCATCGCTGTTAGCTATCAAGGCATCACTGCCAGATTCAAGGCATCGCTGTTAGTTATCATGGCATCACAGCCAGATTCAAGGCATCACTGTTAGTTATCAAGGCATCACAGCCACATTCAAGGCATCGTTGTTAGTTATCAAGGCATCTCTGTTAGTTATCAAGGCATCACTGACAGAATCAAGGCATCGCTATTAGTTATCAAGGCATCACAGCCAGATTCAAGGCATCACTTTTAGTTATCAAGGCATAGTTCTTGGTTATCAAAGCAACACTATTGGTTATCAAGGCAAAGCTGTTGGTTATCAAGGCATCACTGTTAGTTATCAAGGCATCAGTTTTGTTATCAAGGCATTATTGTTAGTTATCAAGGCATTATTGTTAGTTATCAAGGCATCACTGTTGTTATTAAGGCAACACTGTTGTTATCAAGGCATCACTTTTAGTTATCAAGGCATTGCTGTTAGTTATCAAGGCATCGCTCTTAGTTATCAAGGCATCACTGTTTAATATCAAGGAATCACTGTTATTTATCACGGCATCGCTGTTAGTTATCAAGGTATCGGTATTAGTTATCAAGGCATCACTGTTTAATATCAAGGAATCACTGTTAGTTATCAAGGCATCACTGCCAGTTATCAAGGTATCGGTGTTAGTTATCAAGGCATCACTGTCTGGTATTAAAGCATCACTGTTTGGTATCAACGCATTATAGTCAGAAACGTACACAAAATCTACACTAAGTTGTCAGACTTTCGTTATTGTGGCTGAGTGGGTTAGACGGTTGACATTGTGTGCTGGCGGTTTGGTGCCTTATTCTGAGAGTGTGGGTTTGAATCCCGGACAGAACTCAAACCCCAAAAGTGTTATCTCAAATATAGCATATGTCCTAACTGAAAGGGAAGTGAAATAACTGTTGTAATGGACAGTTTGAAAAAATATTATTAGATAATCAATCAACAGATTGTGCTATTTAGCACGAGTTTTCAACAATTTGACAACAAACATTTTTCACATAGAAATATACTGCAAATGATTGCCTTTTTGCAAGGTTATGTATAAATGAGAGCAACATGGTACTTACATGACATGTACTCCTGCAGTTGTTGAAACTGCGCCGGATTGAGTTTCTGCCACTGAACTGCCATGTTGACAGTTGGGTCAAGGTTGAGGTCAAGGTCAAAAGGTGACAAGAGTAATCTTGGTGTCAGAACGCTGACATGGCGACTCCTGACACTGAGAAGTACACGAGGTCACAACTTTCACAAAGCTTTCACCCAAAGGAACTCCAACCAGGCATTTTGGTTCACAGACACGTTAATTAGTTCTCGTGTACAAGAAAAGATTAGCCTTTTCCATAAATATTGTCAGACCATTTAGTTTGCAACAGATCCTTGAACAACCGCTAAGATAGCAGTACTTTCCTCCTTCAAACAAATAGTCATTGATTACCTTATGTTGAACTTGGCATCAATCAATTAATACATTGTTCTTGGTTTTGTCCTGTGGTCAATCCTTAACAACAACGACAAGCTATAGTCGACACTGCTGGCACGATGGTGCTAGTCACTATTGAACTCCTTGTTTGCTAATATTGCTAAATACCTTAGCGAGGAGGTCGAGATGATTAGGACTTTCTTGATCAGTTCTCCTGCAACTCAACAAACAGTTGCTTCATGTTTTAATGGCTCACCCTCCATTGTTCCAATGGCCAGTTTAAGGAACATGGGTACACAATACAACTGTTTACTTTCTCCACACGTGCAGATTACCAAGAGGCTCGTACCATCCGACTGCGCTGAGATCAATGTCAAAATTCACATACTGGACACTGGAGGAGGTGTCGATGGGACAATTTTGGAAAGTGCCAGTTGTGAGGTGGGACTTAACTCCGTTCAAATAACTAAAGGGTGCCCTTTGTCAAGGCAGGAGTCGGTCTTCCATCTCAAGAAGCAGGTTTGGTCCTCGTGTCTCCAATCAAGCTTTCATCTTCAGCCATGATGGCATCTGAAACAGGATTTCTTGAAATTAGAAAAATATTATAAAATTAGGTCCATTGTTAGGCAACCCCCTCCAAATAAAATCTTGACAAGTTATATTTCATGATTTATATTGTTTACATTAAATAGTATTAAGACCTTGCAATGCTCAACAATGTTAACTGTCTCTGCAAATCTACATTACGTCAGTTTCAGGCTGAAAGTGAAGCGCGTCTCCAGGCTCCTATATAAGATAAGATAATTGTGCAACTGTTTTTTATTCAGAGATTTCACGTTAGTCTAAACACTTTGTTGTGAAATAATGTAGCTTGATGGTGCTAGCAGAGGGTATTAATACTAGAGTTCAATAACAGTATCATTTGTCTCTAACCACCGACAATTTGACAACCATTTCATCATCTCTAGTTTAATATCTCCCCTGCCTCGATTCTGCTGGAATATTGCTAAAAGCGGCGTAAAACCATACTCACTCACTCTAGTTTAATACAGCAGCACTTCTGCAACATGCCAGCTGTAACTACAGAAGGCTGGACCAGACAAACCAGTGATTAATACTGTGAGCAATGATCCATGCCCAGGGGTACGAGCTGTATTATCTTGCCTCACACATAAATGTCATTTTCTGATTGGCTGAGCGCTCTTCTATTATTTTCAATGTACCCTGCTTACAAGTGAGTAACATTTTCTATGTACCCCGTTGGGAACGCCGAACTCATTTGGTACTTCGTAGTTGTGATTCTTTATCTCATATATCATTGAATCACTAATGATGTACCCAAATTACCGATGTTTTGCAAATGCAAATCGATGGAAGGGAGACAACTATAAATTTGTTTTTCTTGTCGTCTGGTACTCCATACTATGATCCGATACCCATGTTTCAAACAGTTTAAAATTACCATTGAGGTGTTTGGTAAGATAAATACGCTGTTCACTGGTCCCTTGGGGCCCATGGGTTGATGTACCCTCGATGTTTCTTTATGTTTCGTAACATAAACAAACATCGAGGGTACATCAGCCCATGTCCCCCTCAGGACCAGTGAACAACCTATAATGTGGGACATGTGGAAGGCAAATGACAGGACCTGACAAACTGATCTATCAAATGGTCTCACATGACAAGCAGATTGATACGGACCAATTTCAATCGGTATCGTGCTGAAAGGTTTCGCCATTGACATAGTAAGAGAATTTCTGAGAAAATATATGGAATCGGTTAACTGTTGACTGATTAAAAATCAGAACCAACATGATTTGAAGCATCTCTAGTGAGTGAGTGGTTTTATGCAGCTTTTCATAATAACTCAGTGAGTGAGTGAGTGAGTGAATGGTTGAGTCAGTGGTTGACTTAGGAGATAAACATCATGTGTTGGCCAATTTCCGGGTGTTATTGAGTATTTGAAGCACGGGAATTCATTTGGAACCAACGGTGTCAGCCGGAGGTTTTAAATGGAATATTCCCGTGCTTCAAATACTCAATAACACCCGGAAATTGGCCAACACATGATGTTTATCGACATTGTAAACACAAAAGTAAACCAAAAGGTCCACACACGTTTTTGTGTCTGCACTCATTGACATCGTGTATGGGTACAGCAGTGAAATGTCATCAACCGGCCGTTTCGGCTGTCTCTCATGGTAGCATCTGGAACTGCTCATTTGTGACGTCATTCGGACTTTACGTCACAATTTGATTTGAATGACGTCATCACTGCTGACGACGTAACAATATACAATGGTGTGAGCGATGTTTGTATGTATTAATACACAGCGAATTTCCGGGAATCGAATACGAATATGCGAGTGGTTTTCTGCAGCTTTTCATAATATGTTAGTGGTTTTATGCAGCTTTTCATAATATGTGAGTGGTTTTATGCAGCTTTTCATAATATGTGAGTCATTGAGTGAGTGGGTGAATGAAATGAATGAAAGGTTAAATGAGTGAGTGGTTGAGTGAGTAAGTGAGTGAGTGAGTGAGTTGTTTTATGCAGCTTTTCATAATATTCCAGCAGCATCAAGATGGGAACACCAAAAACAAACTTTAAACATTGTACATTGGAGAATAAAACCCATGTCTTTTGCAAGATGAACAAAACACTTTAACCACAAAGCTACCCAACCACACCCTTCAAATACTAAGCACAATCCCAAAACACAAAAGGCTACAACATACATAAAAACGCCAATCAATACTATGATAACAATTCATTTTCTTAATAGTTACATTTTTCCACATGTATGACAACAATGAACTCGAAAAACAAAGGCAGGGTTTCCGTTATGATGTACCCCTCCCTTGCCTTCTAATGATGCTGCTATTTACCATACATTCCTATCTATATGAATCTAAAATTATCCTTACACCAATTAGGCATCATATTGTGTGGTCGCCATGGCAATATAAGTGTATCATTCATGAACATATTGGAAGGAGCAGCAGTGTCATGCTTGTGGCAGCCAATAAACAATGGGCGTGGTCATAGCTGAAGGACAGAATTGACCATTATTATCTGGATTCTATTTGTGATGCAAAAGAAGACTATGTAATAATAAACAGCCTATATCATCAGCACGAAAATGGTTATTATCATGTATCACATGGTACTAACAGCCTAGACATTGTAGCATTCTTCCTTAATTTTATTGCTATGGCAACACTGAAGGGATAGCATTCAGGGAGTGCTTCTGTCGATAAGGAATATCTTTGTCTTCTGACATTGTCAGTGACATGGCAGAGCAAATAGCGACAATGCATACAGTGCATACAGTGCATACAGAAAGATATTTAAGAAATAAAGTTTCTCCACCCCAAAGTGTAGTGTATTAAAGTGTAAAAAAAAAGAAGAAAAAAAAGTGTAGTTTTACATTAAATTCTTATGGTTAAAGCACAAGGAGGTTGGTATCTGAGTGCTTTGATGTTATGAAAGTTCAAGGCAAAACAACATCGTGATGACCATCAACACATTTATTAACAGTGTACGTCATTCCAGGGTGAAGTACATTTAAAGCATACCTTTTTCCAGCATAAAGTACATTTAAAGAGTACATTGCTTCAGCATAAAGTACATTTAAAGCATACCTTTTTCCAGCATAAAGTACATTTAAAGAGTACATTGCTTCAGCATAAAGTACATTTAAAGTGTACATTGCTTCAGCATAAAGTACATTTAAAGTGCACATTGCTTCAGCATAAAGTACATTTAAAGTGTACATGCTTCAGCATAAAGTCCATTTAAAGTGCACACTGCTTCAGCATAAAGTCCATTTAAAGTGCACATTGCTTCAGCATGAAGTCCATTTAAAGTGCACATTGCTTCAGCATAAAGTCCATTTAAAGTGCACATTGCTTCAGCATGAAGTACATTTAAAGTGTACACTGCTTCAGCGTAAAGTACATTTAAAGTGTACATTGCCTCAGCATAAAGTCCACTTAAAGTGTACACTGCCTCAACATAAAGTACATTTAAAGTGCACATTGCTTCAGCATTAAGTACATTTAAAGTGCACATTGCTTCAGCATAAAGTCCATTTAAAGTGCACATTGCTTCAGCATAAAGTCCATTTAAAGTGCACATTGCTTCAGCATAAAGTACATATAAAGTGCCCCTGTTGTACCATAAGGTACAGGTGTCAAAACATCTCAGAAATAATGTGTAGACATACCAACATGTATGTTATACACTACTATGTGTATGTGATGAAGGTCTGCTGTGCAACCCAATAATAAGCTATCTTCCTATTTTGTCCAAGGAAGTGTCCACATGACAACCTTGCGATGTTTGTTATTCAACACCCAGTCTGTAATCTTCCAGCTTTATGATGGCGCTCCGTAAATAACTGAGCCTGGACCACACAAACCAGTGATTGACATCATGAGCATCAATAATTCAGCAGATGACATGACAGCTTGTTCAACATATTGAATGTGAGTATGACAAAGATGTGTTTTTCTCAATGCCACTCTCAGCAGCATTCCAGGTACATCACTGTGTTTAATTTAATCTGGGATAGTCCAACTAGTGATTCATATAACAAGCATGTTTAGTCCATGTCAACAGGATGCAATGACAATCTTACAGTCACTGATCCTGTTATAATTATTTGCATACATCATCATAACACTGTCGACCTACTCTATCTCAGATCAGCATTGGGTGTGTTAGTGAGTGACCAAAATTCCAGCACTATCACAGTGGGGAACACCAGAATTGGGCTTCAAACACTGTACTTATGTCAGGACTTGAAGCCAGGTCCTCGGAATGATGAGTGAAGACGTTAACCACTAGGCTACCCTACTGCCCCGGAGAACAGTAGTAGTGACGTAGTACAGAATGGTACTAAGTTATTCTCAGTATATATTATTGCTCTATGGGGTAGCCTAGTGGTTAAAGCGTTCGCTCGTCAGGCCGAGGACCTGGCTTCAAATCCATATATGGGTACAACGTTTCCGTTGTCATGATATTGCTGGAATATTGCTAAATAGTTGGAGTAAAACCATACTCTCTCACTATTGCCTCTTATGATGGAATCCACGCCAACAGATGATATAAACCAACCTATACCATGTGGAGAACAGCTCTGTGAGTTTCTACATGACAATGCATACCTGTGAACCATAGCTTGCTTCCCTATTGTCTGAATCAACTAGTACTGCCTGGGAATGTTGGGAGGGTCGTTATGATGGATAACGATCTGCTTAACAATGGACATCACACACCCAAGTGGTATAATTACTGATTCCCTCTCTGGTCACATGTGAAAGCAGCTTCCAACTGATGTAACTGGTCTCACTTTTAGCCAAGCATAAAGTCATGTATAAGGATAAAAGACTATATTAGAACCTTTTAGCATTAAGGTACCCTCGGGGCGGCAGGTAGCCTAGTGGTTAAAGCGTTGGCTCGTCATGCCGAATACCCGAGTTCGATTCCCCACATGGGTACAATGTGTGAAGACCATTTCTGGTGTCCCCCGCCATGATATTGCTGGAATATTGCTACAAGCGGCATA